AGCAGCATTGTTAAAACACACTTTAAATTTCTTCAGAACAGACACATGAAACGAGTGCCACAAATGCATGCAACTGACATTTGAACAATAGGCATCATACAAATATTTCTTAACCGAGTATGAACATATGGCAAATTTGCGACTGATCGTATTAGCACGGCAACAAAGATTACGATATTGCTGTCGGATTTCTAAGTCATCGACTCTAGAGCCCACATTGCTGAGTTGATACCCAAGATACTTGTAAGAGTCAACGAATTTCAAAGCACAGCCACCAAGCGAGATAGTAGGAACATAGAGATCACGAAATAACTTAGGACATATTTTCATGCAAACAGTCTTTCTAGTGTTGAATTTGATATCATGCTCAATTGCATAGGAATCACAGACATTCAACATTTTCTGCAGTCCATATGATGAAGGGGATAGCAGGACCATGTCAGCATAATATAAATGATTTACACTACCTTGAAAATGACACCCAACACCACTCCGATCAAGAAGCGTCGATAGACCATCAGTGTACGCATTAAACAGATATGGAGATAATATCCCACCTTGCCTTACCCCGTTTGTCACCGTAAACCCTTCGGATAACAAGCCACCCCATAAAACATAAAATTGTTGAGTCTCGTACCACGAAGAAAGAAACTTCACAAGACTCACATCAATTTTCCTCTCTAGAAGTATAGAAAATAACTTCCAGTGGTTGACTCGGTCAAAAGCCTTCCGTGCATCGAGAAAGCATACAAATACCGGACTTCTATTTCGCAGATAATAGTCACTTATTTCTTTAAGGGCATATATAGCCATGTCGGTTGAATGTTCCTTTTTGAAGCCGAACTGATGGTGTCCAGTCGCAAGTTGTCTATCACAGCGTTTCAGAATGACCCTTTCAAGAATCTTGGAACTTACACTGGCTACAGCTATTGGGCGATAATTGTCCTTATCTGACAGCTTTGCCGACTTATCCTTTACGATGGGTGTAAGTACAACTTTTGAAAATGTTTGTGGAACATATTCATGCTTTACCATCATGGAAAAAACACAAAGATAAATGCACTGCGCTGGAGACACCGGAAAATTTAAAGTGCTCAGCACTGAGCCCATCATTACCACTAGAGCGACCACAAGATAATTCCCGGATTGACTCGATGATTTCAGGGACAGAAATACACACAAACTGATGGTTTCTCTCACGAAACTCCTGAAGAACAAATTCTTTACGATCAACGCTGCTCACGCTATTCAGTATCTCTGAAAAGTGATCTCGCCACATTGAAGCAATATTGTCACACCCCGAAATGCCATTAATCGAATGAGCAAGAGGGGCACTACCATTAAGTTTCCGCACCTCTTTCCAAAATGCTGCTAAACTATAAGGATTACGTGTGAGCTTGTCTGCTAGGGACTTCGCTCTCAATTCTTTTTCATGCCGAAGGCAAAACCGTAAAGCATATTTGAATCTCGCTCGTGCCAATCGAAGCTGTAAGTAAATGTAACCATCCCGGGGCTTGCCGACCAGGGCCCACAGAGAGTAAACATCACTGAGCAGGACGTGGCTTTCCTCAACAAATTCACTCCAACCAGGAATATTACGCTTCTTCGTAACCCCTAGATTCCTCGATAGTCTCGTTTAATTGCGTCAAAAAGTCTGACTTTTGTTGGCTTCAGGAGCAGTAGAAACCTTATTACAAGGCATATCGTTATATTCTTCATGTAAAATCAAACGTTTCGTCTCTGAACAAAGACATCATCAGTGAAGTTACACACAACAGTACATGAGAAAATAAGCAATCAGGCGACATAACAAGAGCAACACAGTATCGCACATAAAATCATGCATATCATAAACGTTTCATGTTTCATCGAGGACCCCTAGGTAACGATATCTAATTTATACGCCGACAACTTATCATTGATGGAAGGCCTAGACTTGAATATGTGAAGCGATTCCAGAATTCTTAAATTAAAGTTTGAACGTTTTTTGTCAATGATCTTAAAATCGTTCAACGAAAATGGTACGTCGCATGCCAATGAATGGTCTCTAACAGAAGAGGCTACAGGAGAGGTAAGAAAATTTCCCGTTCTGTCCGACTTGCCCTGATGCTGGCACACTCTGCTATAAAGGCGCACATAGGTCGAGCCTATGTATGTCCCCTCACACGAGGGGCAACTGAACTGATAAACTATAGCAGAGCGGCATGCTTTCGGGATCACGTCTTTAAACGAGAAAAGAGAGCCTATGCTGCGGGTGTTGCGGAGAATGATCTTGGGGTTCAGGTAGGGATAAAACTTTTTTAGAGTGGACTCTACCTCAGATCTTAGTTTGTTTGATTGTTTTCCAAAAAAAGGTAGCACAAAGTACCTGTCTAGCTTGGGTACCTGGAACAGAGTAGGACTTTTTGAAAACTCTTTCTTCAAAAACCTGTGAATGGCGGTCTCTACAAGTGTTTTTGGGAATCCATTGTCTCTAAAATATTTGTAAAGGAAGTTCAGCTCATTGTGGAAGTAGTGGTAAGTTGAACTAAGGTTATAAGCACGATAAATAGCAGAGCTAACAATGGCCTTCTTGATTGAACTCGGTATGAAGCTAAAGAAGCTCAAACCAAGACCAGTGAAAGTTGGTTTCCGGTAAACTGAAGTTGTTAACTCAGTACCAGACCGTTCGACCTTAACATCCAGAAAGGGGAGCGAGCCATTAAATTCCATTTCTTTAGTGAACTTTATTTTTGGGTGCTGACTGTTCAGAAAGTTGAGAAACCGATCTACATGTGAAACGTCGTTAAAAATGAGAAAACAGTCATCCACATATCTTTTGTAATAGGTCGGGCGAAACTCTCGAGGGCATGAATCAAGCCATCTCTTTTCATGATGACACAGGAAAATGTTTGCAAATGTTGGCCCGAGTGGCAGGCCCATGCCCACACCGTCTGTTTGTTTGAATAATCTCTTGTTGAAAAGAAAATAAGAATTGGTCACTGCCAACTCTAGCATGGTGTGAAACAACTTTCGAGGGATGCCATTAATGCTGGTACAGCTTCTAAAGAGGGAGCTCATGGCAATGTTGATGGTCTCGCAAACAGGTATGTTAGTGAATAGGCTTTCTACATCAAAACTCGCCATCACCATGTTCTCACTAAGTGATAGTCCTCTTACATCTTACTGTTGTGTGTAACTTGTACTGTACTGTTGTGTGTAACTTCACTGATGATGTCTTTGTTCAGAGACGAAACGTTTGATTTTACATGAAGAATATAACGATATGCCTTGTAATAAGGTTTCTACTGCTCCTGATTCCTCGATATTGTAGCTTGAGAGGCTTGTTGAATGCATGCAATAATTTCATTGTAATATTTGTCAACGAAAGTACAGTGATCAGCTATAGAGCAATTATCACATTCCAGTAAGTGACGTGGGATATTGATAAGGTCTGGATAAGGATAAGGATGGATAAGGATAAGGTCTACAATTTTTACGGAGGTCATTTTCAGGTCAGGTCAAAGATGACGTCACAGGGGTAAGAAGGAAGTCAAAATAGTTATGGCTGTAACTTTTGATCTAATAAAGAAAGAGACGTGGAACAGGCACCATTGTGTTTGCTTTCGCCTAGCGCCAGTTCGTTTTGAATTTCAATACCGATGACCTAACATCAGGTCAATTTCTTGACCACCCCATTATAAGTCAATTGGGGAAAAATCAGCTCCCTTGTTTTTACACTAAAACGCGTCGGAATTGCCTAATATACCATGAGTGACTTCATATACGACTAACTTTGACTACCTTGAGACCTTTTTTGCTCTTGGTCAACTGTGACGTTGCTCTTGGGTCATGTGACGTCATTAAAGGTCACCAAATGTTTTTTTGCTAATAACTCCTTACAGGTTTGAGATACAGCCGCGCGGATAGGCTCATTGTATTCAGCTCGTCAAGGCCCATCGAATGATATATATGATGACCTTAAGGTCACGTGACCTAAGGTCAACTTTTGACCTTGACCTTTCGAGGTCAACATACACATGTTTCGATGCGGATCGACGAGAGGATCACGATGGTGCTATTAGTTTGTTCATAGCTGGGATACTTTGAAAGTTATTCGAGAAAAACTTCATATATATGTAGTGTCGCCATTTAGACTTTCTTTTTACCCCTGTGACGTCATCTTTGATCTGACCTGAAAATGACCTGAGTAAAAATTGTAGACCTTATCCATGTGTACTTTGTGCCGTTTACCACTTGTCACTATCTTGCTTTGTTCTCGAGATCTCGCTGTCGCTCCCGCTCGTAATAATGGGAAGGTCATAAAAATGACCTGACCTGAGGTCAACGCAGGCCGAAAGCCACTTTTTTTATTTGCGCATATGAATGACAATTGATAAGGCCTTAATCGTCATCAGACAAAATTGCGACTTTCAGTTGGGATAATATCAAGGTCACTCTTCTAAAAAAGGTCAAGATGTCACGTGATCAAAATTTTCAAAAATCAAAAATCCGAGATAGCCAAAACGTTTGTTGGTTGATTGCAAGTTGAACCATATGAAGTTTTTACCATAGAAAACCAATAGTTTCTGAGTTATAAGCCGCCAAACATAGGGTTGCAGTGTGACCTCCAGGAACTGCCCGAGGCTATATCTCGGAAACCGTTGTTCGAAGAAAAAAAATCCTTGCCACAGCTGGGTTCCCCGCCCATCACAACCCATTAGACCAATTTTAAGCAAAAAATAAAATATGAGGGTGTAAATTTTATTTATTTTTGGTCGATCTATCGTGGAATGCCCCAGCTAGCTTCTGGCTTCTTGTTTGGTCTATCTCGGTCTGTCCGTATCATGTTATCCTTTGTCTATCCATCCGTCCGTCTGTTTATCCGCCCGTCCGATCTGTGTCATACTCTGTCCGTATTTGTCTCCCCAACTCGCTCCACTATTCCGCCTGCCCGTCCGTCCGTCCGTCTACCATTCCGTGTTGTTCGATCCGTCTGACGTGTGTGCCCCGCCTCTATCGCTCCAATCCGCTGTGCGGCGGCCAGCCGGGCACGGACTGCCGGTCGGCGCTCGGCCCACGGCCATCACCAGCATGCCCTGTGAGTACGCCCCCCTCCCTCGTACAGCGGAGGGCCCACGAGGACCCCTGGGAGGTCTGTATGGTCTGTGCTGGTCCTTGGGCGGAATGGTCCGCTGGTGGTCCGGATAGAATGGTCCACTGTCCCGTCTCAGCGTCTCACGCCGGCCGCCTGCTAAGCATAGCTGACATCAATTTGGCGCGCATTATTGCGCAAGCGAAAGCTTTTTGCTGTTTGTTTAAAATTACAACGCTCGTGTTTTGAGACATTTCGCTGCTTAGCAGCGAAGCTTTTGATGTGTGTTGATCGCAAGAGATCTACGGCGATATTTGCTTCGATGTGACTCCGACTCATTCGCATATGTATTTTGATGTGAGTTTTGCAATTCTGTAACACGAAACATCAAAATGGCTAGCGCTGACACCGCCGCCCGCCCCGTTGACGTTTGTGTGCGTTTGTGTCGACTGCACGCTGGCAGCTGGTCAGAGGGCAGGTCTGCAGGCCACACACAGGACGGACCCCGGCCATAAACACGCGCGTGAGTGTCGCTCGCCGTGCACCGCCGTCCGGGCGTCTGCCCCGTTCCGTTCTGTCGACTGTGCCACACCGCTTGGCGTGTTTACGATGCATGAGATGTGCACTGTGGCGCCCGTAGCTTATCTCATTTTTCAGTCATTGTGGTACCCTAAACAGCATGAATGACACTGTCAGCCACGCTCCTGTTAGTTTCTGTCGTTTTTTTTTTTGTTTGTTTGTAGATGGTCTAGCTGCGAACTCTCGTATTTCGTTTTAGTTGGACGATTTTGTTTACTATTCATTGTATTTTTCGTTTATTTTTTGCCGCGATTATTTAATCAATAAGCGCTGTGGAATTGTTACTTTGTTCTCTATTGTATTATCACATTTTCAGGTAGTTTTTTTTTTAGCACCCATTGTAACTGTGTTGGAATGTTTTGTGCAGGCCTCAGAGGCTGGCGGGCGCATGGTCGTGAACCATATACGGTACCAAAGTGAGAGCTCATTCCCATAAAAAATGTCTGGCTCTAGATGGGCTGTTTTGTTCCGTGGTGATATACTGTACTGTCCTGCCCTGTCATATATTACAGCACGCGTCATAACGTGTACAGTGTACAATTTACACTGCCTTGAGTGATTTTCATTCAACTTCAGTTTGCATGCGAATGATATAGTTAGTTATATTTTTGCGACTGAAAATATATTTTAAGTTTATGTGTAAGAATGATTGTTTGGGGAGACCTGGCTTTGTTTGCCACTAAGCTATTGGGGACTGTATTGTTTCGTATTTTGCCAAAGCATGCAATGAGCCGTTATCCATGCGCTCTTCGGACTGATGCGACTGTTTGGCCTTGATCCGACATTCGCTCCTCATTCAGTTTTCCATTGGGCCGTATATCCACTAACAGTATCAACCGCCCTAACTAGGCAGCGGCGTCGCTGACTTTTGTGTCGATTTCATAGCTGCGTTGACGCGCGATGGGATCCGTGGTTGTGCGATGGGGCATCAGTAGTGTTTTTTTTTACATGATTTTTGCCGACCTGTGCCATGACTCTGTGCCGATCCAGCCGCCTTAGTAGGTTAACCGTGCTGATCTAGTGTATAGTGTATATTATACCGTACCGAGCAGCTGTGTCATGACCCTGTGCCGTCCCGACAGCGGCCTCTCTGGGTATGAGTACCCTGCCGGCGGGAATGAGAATGCCCCGCTCCTCCGGCCAGCACCATACCGTCCGTACGTACCGCCTGTCAAGCCAGCGTCGGCGCTGCACGGCACGGTATTCCGACACGGTTTTGTTGAGGTTACACACACGTTTTTCGAGGCTGGGTTTTGTGTTGATCTCTAGCCTACTTCAGAACAGAGGTGGCATCTTTGTTTAGTTTTAGGCTTTTTCGTTCACCAGTGATTTTTGTTTAGTTTGTATGGTCTGTATGGATGTTTTGTGCACGCTGTGTGGCTTATGGTTTTTGTTGTTGTTTTTGTGAGTTTTATTTTCTTTTTTAAATGATAAGTTGTGCGAGGAAGTCGGCTTATTAGTCATAAGTTTATGTCTATGTCATGTTTTATATTATATCCGCTTCATACGTACGTCATGTTAGTTAAAATATAACATGACTCGTAAGTGATAGTTATTAGTTACTGCAGAAATGTCCAAATAGTTAATTATACCAACCTGCTTGCAAATAGATATTTAGCCTGCATTGATCTCAAACCTCGAAGTGTTCAGCGAACAGAGAACGTTCATGAATATGGATATGCGTGGCTGTCTCAGGCCACCCGACATCGGTTTCTGTGTTCCCTGTGCAACACTAATCTGACGTCACCTCCGGCGTTGGCACTGTCATGTTTATACGATGATCATGTGCGGCCGATTTGCGCCGGAGTGTGTCTAACGGACACCGTTTCTCATTCACGCTGCTCGCTCTGACCCGGCCGGCCGGTCAGATTTCGGCGGTACGAGCACCATGCCCTCTGGCGGCCGCCAGGCGGGCAGGCCCGGTAAGTGGGCTCGGTCGAGCGGCCAGCGCCGACCGCTCGGCTGAGGAGCCCGTGAGACGGTGTGTGGGCTTATTTTTACATTGACAAGTTGTTATGTGTTGAGGTGTCTGAACTTGGCTTGTCTTCATACAAAAACACTTTCTGGCTGTCTTGGATACACCGTGTGTGCACAACTCAGCTGTATACTTTGTTCCACCCTCTGCAGCGTATCAGTGACTCAAACTGACACTCCCGCACCATCACTGTACTACTGGGGTGAAATACCACCGCGCTGAAATCCCGCTGCGAACACCGGCCGTACCAGCGTACTTACCACTCGTGTCTTGGTCATGGAATGGTCACCCGATCCACCGCTACCACCTACCGCAGACTTACGACTTACTGTCCGATGTCCATACCATCGCTGACTTGTACCACCGGGTGACGACTGTTCGTATTTCCTACCTTACTCCCTCTTACTGAGACCGCTCCTACCGCCTTGTGTCGCCAGCGATGGGCCCGCCGCCGCCGCCTCCGATGGAGCCAGTCGGCGCCGCCGGTCACGACGGGCGCGGCTACGGCCTGAGTCCCCATCAGCGTGAGTACTCGGCATGCCCGCCCTCCCCTGTGGGGCTGCGTGGTCTGGGTGCTGTCAGACCGCCGTCAGGTGCTCCTGGCTCGCTTATAGACCGCTGTGGGGCCGCTCATCGCTAGGCTGTTTAGGGCCATTCTTTGGTCTGCTAGGCCCCAATGAGGAGTAATGCGCGCCTGCTTGGCTCCTATAGTGTGTGTACTGCCCGACTGCTAGGCTAGGGTTCCATCGGCCGCTGAGCTGTCCCCTGCTCCTGCAGCGGCTGTATGGGTGTGGGCTTTGTGAACATTTGCCGCTGCTGATCGGGCAGGTCTGTCAGGGGGCTGATTACAATTAGAGCTAGGTGGGACTGCCGGAGCCGGTGATGACTATTGGAGACCTACAGAGACGAGCCACCGGGATTGCCTGTAGCCAGCTACTGCAAATGAGCCGACTGGAGGTCGCTGGGTGAATGGTGTATGATGGCGAGGGAGGGGTGTAGGATGTATAGGTGCATACTGCATACAGCGTTTCCGGTGCCCCGCGCACTGACCCGTCTCCATCCGTCAGCTCCACACCCGCAACTTCAGTACCAGCAGTACCGGGCGCTGCGGCCGCCGCCCGCGTACTTCCTCTGTGAGTGCCCCTCCCCGAGTGCCCCCCGAGTGCCGTGAGTGCCGCTAACGCACCGTTCCTACAGCCGGCGCCGGGATGGTGGGCCTCAGCACGCTGCGACTGCGGAGCTCTGCTGCTAACAGCATGCCTCGTAAGTGCCACTAACAGCGCCGCGCGCGGGGTGCCGCCCCGGCCACCCCTGCTCCGTAGCCTGGGGAGGGTGGCCGGGGCGGCGAGATGGACACTCAGTAGGGAAGGGGTGCGTTGTTTGCTGGGGTTATGACATTGCTCGACGGATAATGCCGCATTTTGGTTTTAGCATGCCAGTTTCGTTTTGTTGGTGAGTTTGAGATTGCGATTTTCAGTTGGGAATGCCCCCAATAACCTGATAACTAATGACATTATGAGTATGGTGCTCGAAAGTTTAGTATTACACCGATCTTTCTGTTAGCGGAATACGTTTCTACAAAAAAAAAAAACGGTTTGCAGAAACATTCTTTTGTAGATCACGTATACAGGGGCGAAGATTGTGAGTCGGTAGTGTGGATTGAAGTTGTTATTTGAATGCACGCTGGCGAAATCTACTCAGTTACCTTAATGAATAACTATTACAAATCACTGGCGTATGCCGATTTCAGCAGCTGACTGCATATATTTCGTATCTGCATTTGGGATCCGTACTGCAAATATCGTAAGATGTTTATTGACTGGAACAAAACTTAATTAAATGTACCATTTTATGCAGCTGTTTTATGCACTCCATGGTTTGCTAAACACATAACCTGCATATATTGGCTTCCTGCTGTTCAATATTGAAAGCTTTCCTGCCGTTGCCTCAGTCTGCACAGGGTGGAATTTTGCCTGCCCTCCTGTTTAAAGGGACCCTCCCACCTTCAAAAAGTTTATGAATTGGCATGAAAGTGATGTCGCTCGGTTCAGAAAGAGCGAAAACGAATATCTACCAAATTTCACCGAAAAATATTCACCGGTTTTCAAGATATTAGACTTTTACTTTTGTTTACTTTTTTGGGATCTCCGCTGTTTCTAGCGACTTTATTTTAGAAGTGCGGCGTTTGCGGCAGATGTTGCGCGCAAATAGCATATACCACCGCGTGCTACAAAACGTTTTAGTCAAACATTTAAAAATCGTTAGATATTTGCGCTGACGTCACACATTCAGAGGGGTATTCCTAAGCATTAGCCCCTCTGAATCAAAATGCTGCAATTTTGAAATTCAATATTTTCGATTTAAGGCATTTCTCGATGTTGTGAGTGCCGAAACCGGTAATTGTGAGCCAGGGACCCCATTTTGGCTATCTCAACTCAAATCTAATGTTAAGGTGGGAGGGTCCCTTTAATTACGAGTGAGCGAGCGCAGCGAGCGAAGCGAAGTTTTTTCAATGGGTGGACCAAAAAGGATGGAAACATTTTGAACTCGCATAAAATATGTGTTATTGCATGCAGGTGACTGAAAATGATACCAAACGAGAGAACATTTCGTGGAAATTCATGACATCTCTCTCATCTGATTTCTCTCGTTTTCAGTCTCCCACAGCAAATGTTCGAAGAGGCCACTTTTGCGAGACAGGCAAAGAGCGGCCCGCCTGGCTGCTGACGCGATAGCCCGATGACACATGTCCGCTGGTTTGGCTCGCACAGCCTTGGTGATCACTCTCTTCAGGTAACAGATGCCTTTAGAACCTTCCTTGTAGACCTGGCCTTGAGATGACCCCACAGGAAGAAATCCATCGGGGTCAGGCCAGGTGATCAGACAGGCCAGTTCCGACAGGCACTGCGGGATATCAGCCGGTCACCAAGGTGGTTCTCGCTCCACTTGAGCGTTGTTTCGCGATGTGAGGAGGCGCATCGTCTGGCTGGAATCACATGAGGTCCATGAGACTGCCATACTTCGTTTGGGCTCACTTCAACAACTTCTTTAGCGTCGCTTGGTAGCCTTTTGGTCGTCAGCCACGGTGTTGTCGCTCCCATCCTCGAGCCGAAGTGGAACTGACCTGTCTGTCTTCTCATCTGACCTATGGATTCCTTTCCTGTGGAGTCATCTCAAGGGCCAGGTCTACAAGGAAGGTTATGCAGGCCTCTGTTATCCGAAGAGAGCGATCACCAAGGCTGTGCGAGTCATACCAGAGGACATGTGTCATCGGGCTATCGCGTCAGCCGGCAGGCGGGCCACTGTCTGTGCCTGTCTCGCAAAGGTGGCCTCTTCGAACATTTGCTGTGAGAGACTGAAGACGAGAGAGAGAAGACGAGAGAGACGTCATTATGAATTTCCACGAAATGTTCTCTCGTTTGGTATAATTTTCAGTCACCTGCATGCAATAACACATATTTTATGCGAGTTCAAAATGTTTCCATCCTTTTTGGTCCACCCTGTATAACGCAAAAATCTCAGTATGAGCGGCCCGGCCCGGCCCGGCCCGGCCTGTAACGCTTTTGAGAGGCTTATATCTCAGCAACCGCTGAACCGATTGGCCTGCGGTCTTTTTTGCTGGATAGCCCCATCCCTTCTACCCCGTAATTGACTACTTTTGATACATCTCAGTGACCGTCGTGGCACGTGCCACGTGAAAAGTCAAGGGTGTTCAAGCAGTTTTGCGCCAAAAGTAATGATTTTGAAAGGCCCATATCTCAGCAGTGTCTTGAGCGATTGTCTTGCGGTAATTTTTATAGGGTAGCTGCATCCCTACCACCAAAGGTCGGATACTCTTGATCTATGTGAGTGACCCCCACTGCACGTGCAAAATAGAAAAATAAGAGGTGCCAAATTTGTTCCTATTTAAGTAACTCGGTAATTACTGGGGCGATTTCGCTGAAACTTGGCATACAGGTAGGCACCCACCAGGCAATGCATTCCCATGTGTTGCGGTTAGGGTGCTACTGCACGTGCGCACGTGCAGGGGGCGCTCCCAGATCTTGAGAACGGCTGGGCCGATTGCGCTCAAATTTGGTACACGGTTGGGGACCAGTTAGTAGGGTGCCGTGCAAATGTCAGTTTGGACCCCGTTTGCACGTGCGCACGTGCAGAATGCTGCTTCCAGATCTCAGGAACGGCTGGGCCGATTGCGTTCAAATTTGGCACACCGCTAGCGACCGGTTAGAAGGGTGCTTTGCACAAGCCCGTAGGTAGGGTCGTCCGGCGATTCTACCTTTTCGTGACGTGAGCTCGTGACGTCATTTGGAGTCAAGTCTCGAAGCCCCGTTCAATCCCCATGTAAATGAGCGATTTTCGAAGCACTGTAGAATTAAGTCTGCACAAGATATATCAAACCTAAGTATCTTATCTGAAAGAGCAGACAATTTTCTGCAAGTTATCTATTACGTGTTTTTCGCTAAATCTTTTGCTTTTTTCACAAAAGCGTAAAATGTCCCCCCATGTCTCCGCAGCCTCCCTGCCGCCGGCCGCCGCGCGGTCGCGGTAGTGTAGTGGTTAGCGTGCCCGCGCAGTAATCCAAAGGTCCCGAGTTCGAATCTATGCGGTGCGGAACTTTAATTGCAATTCCAAGCTGAATATACGCACATCCATAATAAATTATTATTCGTATAGCTAAACTGTCACCAAGCTATCCATATAAATTGACTTCACCCAAAATATCGGCAAGATTCTATTAAAATATAAATTCAAATATGGCGGCTTGGACTGCCGCGTGCGTTAGGCTCCGCCCATAGCTCCGCCCACATGCGTGACGTCATTCGTGTTAGTGGACACACGCGGAGATAGGGGACGACATGGGCCTGATGCATTGTCTCATTTCTCATCACGTTGAGCATCGTAACGTATTACTTTGTCGATATTTCTTGAAAAACTCATACCAACTTTATACCACCCACTTGCAACGTGATCTTTTTTCAATTCTGCAAATAACTAGCTACAGTCAGGCCTATAGCACAAGCTCCTTGTCAACAGCCGAGCTGTCCCTTCGAGCCCACCAGGTGTCCTATCCATATGGCGTAATAGTGCATCACCCCGCCGGTCCGCCCGTCCCGGTGCTATCTGCGTGACACACTCTGGCTGGCGCAGCGCCGCCGTCGCCGCTGCCGCAGCTGTCGGACCCGGGCTCAGTGCGCGGCGGGGACCACTCTCCGCCGCTGCCACCGCCGCCGCCCGAGACCCAGCCGCCCGCCGCCGCCCCCGCCGCCGCCCCCGCCGGCGGTCACTACCGCTCCGGCGGCTACCAGCAGCAGCAGAGCGTGGTCACCGACGACTCGCTGCCCGGCTGGGTGCCCAAGGACTACATCGAGAAAGGTAGGCCGGCAATTAGTCGACACCCGCCTGTCGGGAAACTCAAACAACTGAACCAATTCTTCGATTTTTGTTCGTTGCAGCACTCGCCTCATTATCCGCCATCATGCTGTATGTTCTAGTAGTGCTGACCGTCCTGGCTATTTCTACAAGTAGCAGTATTAATTGTGGTGAAAGTACCCCTCCGCGCCCCGCCCGCTCAATGGTGGACGCACCCTGGCCTTTCTTCCTTGCCTCATCATTTATCTTTCCCGTCCTACGACCGTTCTACTGGTCCCAGCAGTGGTGGACCTACGCTAACCCATTCTACCACTCCCCGCAGTGGTAGCCGTGTACGACTACACGGCTGACAAGGAAGACGAACTCAGCTTCTCAGAGAACTCGGTCATCTACGTGCTGAAGCGTAATGACGACGGCTGGTGGGAGGGAGTGATGGACGGCGTCACCGGCCTGTTCCCAGGAAACTACGTCGAACCGCTCATGTCCTAGGGGGGACCGAGAGCCCACACGGATGCTGACTACAGAATGTAGTCTGCTAGAGGCAGAGCGAGTGATGCATGGTGTGGGTGATTGGTCACAACGTAGATGTGTGACGTCGAATGTGAAAAGTCACATTGAGAATGATTGATGGGTTTGCGAGTGCGAGCTACAGTATGGTGTGGACCTATGTGAAATGAGCGAGGTGGAAAAGAACTGCGTAAGTGACACTTCATGATAAAAAATGTGGTGTGAGTAACGTTGTAGTGTGCACAAGTGATGTAGAAGTATGGTGGAGTAACGTAACAACAGAATCGGCCATTTGCCGCGGAGGAAGACGCACAGTGAGATGAATAAGGTGTCACGGTAGGACTTCCCTTGTGGCAGTGGATTCCTGTATGAGATGTGAAACGTGTGTTTTGTTTGGTTGCTATACGAGTGCATGCTGCTTGACGGAGTGAAATGCGAGTGACTGGTGCGTTGGACGATTGCTTGTATGGAGGATCAGCCGCTATCGTGCGTGGAGAGATGTAATTATAATTTGCTGTATCTAATCGGAATCGATGGCATGATTCGGGGATATGACGCGAGAGAATGCTGCCGCAAAGGAATCAACGTTCCATGTGTAAACTATTTTTTGGGTGATTAGGACTATGTCGAATTTAGCAAGGACTTTGTTTCCCATTTAGCTGTCGAGTTGTATAGAATAGAGTGAGAGTAGACAGTCTCCACAAACTGTCGTACCGCAAACGACAATCGAAATACCAACGCAGGCTGAGAAGAGTCGCTTTAGGTGCTCCGTCTCAGAGGCTGCTGTAGACAAACTGCTGTAGCGCGGCAGCGAGCCACCTGGCCCCGGCAGCGAGAGGGCCACCCCCTGGCACGCGGTCCCCCGCGCGCCAGGGTGCACGCTGTAGCGCGACTATTCTGGAAGCACCACGTGTGAATCGTTTCTCTTTGAGCGCCCACTGTGTGTATGGCACTTCCTGGCGCTGCCAGTGTCCGTCTAGCCGTAGTTTTGACTAGCCTGGCTTATGGCTGACTGTTAGAGCAGATATCAACTGGAGATCGTCATATAATTTGCTAATTGCTTGGAACGCCTGGCTGTCTCTGCCGCTGCCTCTGCTGTTAGGAGTGACCGCGCTGGACGCTGGTTACATGGAGGGTGTGTTCGAGACGCTGGTGCAAAGCCGGTGTACAGTCTCTGTTACACGCGCATTTAGCCTATTCTTTAGCCACAGCTGTGTCGTGAAGGATCAGAAGTGGCTCTGTATTTATTGTTTGACGAGTGTGACTAGCTTGCATGTTATAAGCCACACCAGTAAGCTATGTTGGGTCTATGAATTCCCGCGCGTGAGCTACATTGCCGTATCCAACTTAGAATAGACAGAGCTCTTCCGTCGCACGGGCTTATCCCAGCAGTGTTTGTAATATCTGCCCTGTCATTGTGGACACGCTTTGCCCAGCTTCGGCAGTGTCAGCACACGCACTGAGCCGGCCGTACCCCGGCCGGCAGTCCCGTCTGCTCCTGCAAGGAGCATTCTGATAGCCCGTGCTGCTGCTGCTCCGCTCTGCCTGCGTTTGTGTGTATCTGTAGCACAAATTCCCTTTATGTATGTGCTCTGCTTGAATAAATAATATAGGAAAAGCTGAACTCTTTCTGTTTCATCCTGTGCCTTGCGACGATGACGTTTTTTACGAAATTGTATTTTGCGCTCGTCGTTTGTTTGCTGACAGGCTGCATTAGGCTCAAAGTACAGGGAAGCATCCGATATTGTCATAAATACGGGCATAGGATGCCCGAACATGTGCATATCATGCATTATTGGGACACTCAATATCAAGTCAACACTACAGCTCGCTCTGAACAGTGGCCTCGCGGTTGTCCACCAGGCTTCAGCCCTCGACCACCGTCGCGCTGGCCAAGTGACTCTTCTGACACCATCTGTCGGTCTGCTGTGAATGATGGTCTGACGTTACCTCTCCTACGTCACCTGACGGTCTGCAGTCAACTGTCAACATCACCCGTCACCCGTGACTCTGACGTCACCTGTCGCCAATGACGTCACGACTTGCGCCGGGACGGCGGGATGGTGACGGCAGCCAGTCCCGACAGCGGGCTGGGCAGTCGGGCGACGCCGCGCACCCACTGGTTGGAGCGAGCGTTATACTGCTCCACCAGGCTGAGCGCGGCCGCGTCCTGGGAGCTCACGCCGCCCAGAATCAGAAACTCCAGCTCACCTGGCGACGGGTGTGGCGGGGTCAGAGGCCGACCTGTGGTGATCGAGGGTGACGGGCCGCGGTCGCTGGTAGCGGGCGTAAGTCGGACAGTGCGCATTCGGCTGTCAGAGAGCGGAAGGGTTGTGCGGTGACGGAAGTTACTACTTTAGAGCCTGTCTTGTAGTGAGATGGGTTCCACCGTGGTGTTTGGTCATTTACTTTTTTGAACTGTTATCCTCCCCTTTCCACGTCACAGCTGAGCTGTCCGATGTCCAATGTCCAAGTTCCATGTTTATGCGCTCATTCCTGGCGCCCTACTGCTTCCCACAAGTTTGCCACCCTACCTCTCACCCTGTCACGTCACACAGTCTGCCCTGCGCCCCTCTACTCTACCCTGAACCCCCCCACTCTACCATGAACCTTTTCACTATACCCTGAACTCTTCACTCTAGCCTGAACCTCTCCAGACTCTAATCTACCCCCCCCCCCCACTCCACCCCTGCTCACTCTGCGGCACCACGGCGTGGCCATGGCGAGATGTTTTCATCTGAGCCACATGCACCCAGGCGCGCTGTTCCTCTGAAAACCTGTCCACGGTGTCCACACTACTGATGGCCTTCTGATGGCGCGTGCTGCGGCCGGCTCCGCCAATCAGAAACAGCCGGTGAGCGCACACCACCAGACGGGCGAAACAGCGGGGCTGCCGCAGCGACGGACCCTGACACCACCTGGTGGCAGCGGGACGAACTAGTAGTTATGTACCTCACCGACAAATTGCGGATGCGCTAACAGCTAAAGCACCACATATGTAATGCATAATTAATTGACCATATACTTGGTTTTTGCTACAGCAATTCCGGACACAACATATTCGGGGAAATGGTTCTTGGAATAATTTTGATGTTACTGATAGATTTGTAGTGGGCAAGATGAATTGCACGCTGCGTTCATTGCTCTGGCGCTCTCAGTTCTGCAATTGCATTGTGTTTATCGGGTATCAAACCCAACGGTATCGACTTATATGTTTTCTGGAAGCTTTCGCCCTCTTTCCCCCAGTTCAGCTGAGCTGAGCACAATGCTGGCGGTCTGCTATTTAGGTTTCGAGCCTCGAGGTGAATGATGTTGTCAAGTCATCTCAGTTCCACTAAAAGTGACCATCCCACCTTATGACCTTAACATTAGTTTTGAGTTGAGATAGCCAAATTGAGCCAAAGAGAGCCAAAGAGATAGCCACATTCCCTATATGGAATGTGGTAATATTCGTTTTGGCTCTTTCTGAACCGAGTGACATCACTTTCATGCCAATTCATTAACTTTTTTGAAGGTGGGAGGGTCCCTTTAGGCCTGTCTGTTCATGTTGTAGATAATTTCCATTTTACGATCCGGAACTAGGCTAGGAACCCTAGGAACCAGACACCCAAGCTGCCCGCAGACGTTTCTTCCCCCTCCCCCCGTCCCGTCCCGCCCCGCCCGCCGGCAGCCTGTCGCTCCCGGCGAGTTCTCGGGTAACTCGCCCGAGGCGGTGTACGAGTGGTGTCACGTGACCACTCATCCCACCAATCAGCGGCTCTCGGTTCGTCCGATCTGTCACCTCCGCGTCCGCGCCGGACGGAGCCTGTTACCGAGGCTGCGGCGGGTTGGTTGTGAGACTGAGTGACGGGATTGACAGTGAGGGGTGATAAATGGTGATGGGTGGTGGTGGTTCCAGACATTGTGATTTTCGGCGTCAAACCGTGCTTGTGAACGGTGTGGCGTCAGGCGTGGCACATTGACGGTGTGGGATCGAGTTTCCAAGGACTGGCGAGACCTACATCTCAATTTGAATCGAACGGTCTGTGATCATGTCGGCGGGAGTGGAACTGGGCCGGCGCTTCATAATTTCACTGAAAAGACTCGACCGGCTCTAGTCCAGTTTCCAGTTGTCCAACGTCCATGGACTGTCGTGTTCCGGTCTTCAATGGGCGAACGGAGGTAGCCATCTCAGGAGTTACTTCAGCGGTAACGTACCCACCTACATTTTATGTTATTGTATTTTTTACTGTATTTTTTACCTTCATAGTTACTGGTTGGATAATTTGCTTCCACCTGTGTTGAAGTCATCAATTCATTATCCCATTTTCCGCACACGCTATTCATGAAACAACCACAACCAAGGGATCTACAAAGATTCTTATTTCAATTTTGGCCGCAACTGATAACTACTGATGTTTGCCTTTGTGAAGGTACCTACTAAGCAAAACTAAACTTCGTAAGACTAAAAAGTCACCGGATGTCATCAAAGTTCAATGAGCTTGACCGGACTTTCCATTGACCTTGACGACGCCCACCATGTCATGAGTCAAACATCATTTTACACCTTGATGCGCTTCTAATCACAAAAAGTCTGGAAACGCACGGATGATAATGAGCGCCGACATACACCGAATCGCAATTCCGGCCTGAATCTGACATGGGCTCGAGAAACAGGTCGCAGGTCAAATGTCATTTAACTTTTAAAATCATTTGGGACAAGGTCATGAAATTTTCAGGGTGGGTAGGTACGTGAAAAATTGATAAACTTAAAGGCACGGAAAGTTTCGTCGTGATCTACCGCCGTGCTCGTGATTTATTCGCTAGAAACCGAGGGAGGGAGGGGGAGGGGGCGCACAAACAACAACTACAAAGTGCCGGACGAAAGGTATCACGACAGAACACTCGGTCTAAACTTTACGCCCGCCGTACCGTTTTCTGATGGTGTCGTAGATATCCACGGTGTTGACAACGTCCTGTTTTTTGACGGGACACATGCCGCCGACCACCCAGATGCGATGGTGGTGAACGGCGGCGGCCACTCCGATCCGGGCACAGGCCAGCGGCTCCAGCTCGCACCACGAGTTCCGGTCGGGGTCGAACAGCTCCACACTGGTCAGCGCACACCCGTCCCCGTCCTGGCCGCCGATCACGTACAGCTGGCCCTGGGGGAAATGGAGGGAGGAGCAGTTAGTGCGTCGAGGTGGTCACTTCGGTCAGTAAAATTACTACCGATGAACCAGGTGTGGGCAAGGGCGGTTGGTGAGTCCGTGGTATCCTTTGCAACAAGCACCGCTTAGCGTGGCAACCGGACCCGCAGCCACTCATCCATCAAGACACATCGCCTCTTATCCGCTCACCGCTCACACTCGTCGCCCGCTCGTGTCCGCTTTATTTCGCTCTCATCCTCCCTCTGCGCGGCTCTCGGCCTCTCCCTGTCGGTCTCACCCGTTTCTTGCTGCTCTCACCCACCCAGCGCGATCTACTCACCCGCTCACTCTCACCACACACTTCTCACCTGGGCGACGGCGGTGCCGTGGTGAATGCGCGCGTGTCTCATGGGCGGCCCCTGCCACCAGTCGCCGGTGCTCGGGTCCAGCACCCAGACCGTGTTCAGGGGCCGGCAGCGCGTACTGCCGTCCCGGTAGCTGGGGTCCGTGCCTCCCAGAAGATACACCAGCCCCCGCAGGTGCGCCACAGAGGCGTGGTGGCGCGGCTCCGGTACCTGGCCCACGTACTCCCAGGCGTTCTGCCGTGCAGTACAAATGATACACATGATGTTTGTGTATCGTTAGAATTGCTACTGCTTTAATGGAAGAATATAAAAAAACATGTCACTGATATTTTTTCCTTGAAACGCTCCCAGATGACATTTGCTAAACAATAAGCTCCAGTCTCGCTATGGTCAGAGTCGAAGAAGCATTATAATTCCACCTCATCGACAATGTTCCTTTCCTCTCACTTCCAAGAAGAGCTGACCGAACCTAGTGCGCTGTGTGCCTTACCTGGAAGGCCTGGTACCGGTACATGTCCCGTCCGGAGTTGTACTTTGCGCAGTAGTCCTGCATGGGGTTGAGACCGGCCATGACGAGCACCGTGCTACCCTCGGGGTGGAGCAGGGAGCGGCACTTCCAGTCGGAAGAGGAGGAGACGACGCGGCTGACCGGTCCGCTGCGGGGAGCGGAAACAGCACATTTCACTCTCAACGTCGTGTCTGACAATGTGTTACATCAGCGTGGCTATTCTCAAAGAAGGCCCTCACCTGGCTTTGGGTTTACCACGATCCCCGTTCCGTTTCATTCACCTTTAATTTATCCCAGGGTCCACCCCCGTTCTTTGACCTGGTTTTGAATTTATTCTACCTCACTCCACTGATCTCTATTGTGCATTCAGTCCTACTCAGCTAGTCTGAGGGTTCATCCGGGTCCTACCAACCTCATCTCATATTCCACCCCATCCCACTCACCTGACCTCCGGGTCCATTCGGCCGCGTTTGTCGTGCAGGTGCTCCCGGAAGCAGTTCTGTATCTTGGCGGCGGCTTCGTGCATCTCGCGCACCTGTTTTCTGGCCAGGTGTCCTCGCATGAAGCGCTGGATGGTGGCCGCTGCATACCGCTTCTCCTCGTAGTGGACGCGCGCCGAGTAGGCCCGGAAGTTACGCTGGATCACCACAGCCGCGTACTCTTCTGTGCCCGAGGCCGTCCGGTCGCCGCGGAACGACACCCGCGACCGTGACTGACCGAAACGGGGATGGGGAGGTAGTTAGCACTGGTTGAAGCAGTTGAATACTGGTCAAGCTGGTTTTACATCTATGCCACGCATTGATGAGTGTGCACTGTGCACTTGTGCAGCCGTGCGAAGAGCCGTGCCTCACGCTGTAAGGCATTGAAAGATGGTTAAGCCTCCGGTACATAGATGGCGTTAGGTGTTAACGCCTGCCATGGTATGCTGTTCCGCAATACTGAGTCTACTTTCAAACTCGATAATAGATGGCGCTAGTGGTCTGCGCCTGGTGTGGTATACTGTACCGCATGGCATGAGGCTCGGTAACGTAAACGCTAAGCATGGGGGCCGCCAAACGGTATCGTATTCTAACAAATTTTGATTGAATTTTGAGCGTTCAAACTGCATAATGCTGTTAAAGAGTGACTGATGGGCGTAAAATGACCTCGCAGTCGGCGCGCCCCATACACCCAACAAACAAATGACAACAACAAAAGAGTGACTGAGAACATGATGGCATTCTTTCCTGTCACCGATTCTAGCACTCATTATCTGTTCTTATCACTCACCCCGGAGCGTGACCGTGACCTGGCCGGCGACCTCGCCGCGTTGTCTCGCCGGGAGGTGCGTGTGGTGACCGTCTGGGACGGCCGGTTGTCTCGGCGCGACTCGGGTGTGCTCGGCCGCACCGCTCCCGTCGACCGGTGTTCGTACACGGTGTGGAACCCGTCGGACGCCGCTTCGCTGGGTTTCCTCTGCGGCTGCCGTATCGCCGCGTCGCCGCCCCCTCTGGCAGAACCGCCCGATGTCTGCTTCTGCAGCTCGGAGCGTGATCTCTGACCCGTGGTGCCTTCCGAGCGCGAGCTGGACAGACGGGGTGTCGACGAGGACACGTTCTGTGAGTAGGTCGACTGAGACGAGGCTATTTTCCCCGACTGGTAGGACTGAGAGGGGGCCGCCGGCCGTGACTGGGCGATCCGCGGTGAGGAGATCTGCCGTGACTGGGAGGTGCGAGTCGAGGAGACGCGTCGGGAGTAGGAGGCGCCTGTCGCCGACCGGCGTCTGGAGCCGGATCCTCCCAGCTCGATACCCTGCTCTTTGAGCTGCTGACGCGCCCGGAAACCTCTATAGCCCGACTGAATGACGACTGCGGCCTCGTGCTCCTCGCGGGTGTACAGGCGGCTGTAGGACCGCTGAAACACAGGCAGGGGATTTTAGTGAAACATATTTTCAACCAATGACTGTTGTTCGGACGGATCGGCACAAGCTTTTCAATATAAATAAGCAATGACACCGCTCATTTATTTGAAAGCTTGATGATGGAATGTTTTTTTTTTTTTTTTTTTTTTTTTTTTTTCACATTCGCTGAAGTTTATTGGACACGGCACACTTCACAGCTTATTTCACAGACAACAATCACCAAACACAAATCGCAGACACAAACTGCAACAGCGTGCAGTAATACCGCTTACTTCTGGCCGGGGTTGAGATCGTCAGCATATGCATAGCAGGACACACAGCATGCACAACATAGTAAACTCGATTGTCGAAGACAGTGAGCGGGCGCCACTCCCTCCGTTTCGATTGTTCGTTGGCGTAACGAATCACGGGCCGCGGGCCCCCGCCCGCACCCCCGGAAAATCATTTTCCCGGGGGTGCCCCCTAACCACCGCCCGGGCGAGGGGAGCGCCGACCCGACCCGACACTCGAAAGGCCGGCGCCCCGCCCGCCCGGGCGGCCGACCGGTCCCTTTCAATTGGGACCGGTACCCAGGTTGGCCCGGATGGGTCATAGGGGCGGGGGCCCAATGCTCGGCAAAACTCAGGGCTCCGCCACAGGCCGGCGTTCAAACACAGTAACGTTCAGCAATCTTCCGTTCAAACACAACAAACAGTAACCTAGGTGAGCAAAGAGCAACCAAACAAACAAGTAATTAAACAGACAACATAAACTACACTGTTAAAGAAACGGAATGATTGCATTTATGTATGTGTAGGCATTTCTGTTTGTACTGGGTTGTGTTTGTGACTGTGTGCGTATATGCATGTGTCGGTGTGCTTGTGCAATGTGTTTGTATCAGTTTAGGTGCTTGTGCGTGTGTGTGTGCGTGTGTGTGTGCGTGTGTGTGTGTGTGTGTAGGTGCGTGTGTGTGTGTGATGTGTGTGTGTGTGGGGTGTAGGTGTGTGGGTGAGGGTGCGTGTGTGTGTGTAGGTGTGTGCCGTGTGTGTGGGGGTGTGGGTGTGTGTGTGTCGCGCAGGCGAGACACGCTACATGCTATAAAGAAAACAGCTAAGGAAGGTCTCGATACGCTTTGCAGCACTTTTTAACGTTTTTTTTTTTTTTTTTTTGAACGGTGTAGGAATAGAACAAGTTCACGTAACTGTATCTCCTTCGATTATTTTCACAAGCTTTCCCCACTTCTTCCTAAAAGCATCCACATTTCCATTAGATCTACATCCGTGGTATTCTTTTGTCACTTCCGCTTTCAGTACATTCATCACTGCTGCTAACGTTGGAATGCTGTTTTGTTTTCGTGCTTGATGTATTACATATTTGGCTAAGGTGATGACTAAAACGTCAACGCTTGAAAGGTCTGTTAAGAAGAACCAATTCATTTCATTTACACAGATTGTTTTTTCATAATGTTCTTTCATGTGCGAAAGTATATTTCGAATAAAATATTGAGTTTTTGGACAATACCAAAAAAGATGCGCGATAGTTTCTACCTCGTTTTGGCAAAAAGAACAATCACTCGATTCTGCAATACTCATAAATACTAGCAATTTGTTTGTGGGGTAAATTCTGTTGATTATTTTATAATGGAAATACAAAAGATATGTTGACTTCGTGGCATTCATTACGGTTAATAACGACCCGTTCTCATATTGTCCAACATCATTTTCCCATTTGCTTTCAATTCGTTGATTCACATACTTATGATTTGATGTTGCTGCTTTTAGGTGGACTTCATATGCAAGCTTCGTAAATGCTTTTCCATGCATTACTGCTTGTATTTTATAAGGTATGATAGGACTGCTAAGGTCGTTGGCAGCATTATTTACCAAATTCTCTGGCAGTTTTTGCACAAGTCTTTCATAATTCAAGAAGTCTATTTTTATATTAAATCTTTCCTTTAATTCTTCTCTTGTGAGCAATTTCCGGGTTCTCTGGTCAAACAAGTCGGATACAAAGCGCAATCCTTTCGTATTCCATTCCCTGATTATGCTGTTGGCAAATCCTGAATGGTCAGAAAACCATAGAGTCTCCGTTAGTATTTCCTCGCTACTGGGCTTATAATATTTGGTAAATCTTATCAGAGCGTCCATTACATCAACATAAAAGTTATTTGTGATTTTACTTTTGATAGATTTCAGTTTTTCTTTGCCGTACGTAAGAAGTTGATATCCAGGGGGTAATTGTGTCCTCGCTATTTCTGTCCAATCTCCTGTAGAGGAAATGAAACGCTTGAGCCATGTTAACTTCATGCTATCAATAAACGCTCTCATATTTATCATTTTTAATCCATCCTGTCCGTAGCTCTGCATGAGTTTTGTACGTTTGATTTTATCCCTCTTACCGTGCCAAATAAAATCGAAAATCAAACCTTCAATTTCTTTAAAGAACACTTTTGGTGGATTTGGTAAGGATATGAAAAGATGCACTAGCTTAGAAATTATCATTGCTTTGATTATGCATATTTTGCCTATCGGAGTAAGGTTTCGTCTTTTCCATTGATACAAGTCTTTACGTACTGATATCATTTTTTCTTCAATATTTCTAATTGTGATATTGTCTAGATTATTTGATATAATTATTCCCAGAACTTTAAGCTCGTCTACTATTTTTATACCCAAGTCTGTAGGAATGCAATCCTTAGTAAGCATACCGATAGGCAAACAAGATGTTTTATTTATATTAACTTTGAGCCCCGATATGCGAGTGAACTGATCTAGTTCGTGCATAGCTCCTTTCAGAGACTCATGAGACCCGTCCAAAAATAATATTGTATCGTCCGCATACTGAGATATGCGTACTTGTTTTTGGGGAGATATATTTATTCCATTTAATTTCGATGAGTGAATGATCATTCCTGCTAACACTTCAGCAGCAATGTTAAATAAATAACCCGATGACGGATCACCTTGTCGAATTCCTCTATGTAAGAATATTTGAGGTCCGAGGTGTCCGTTTATCATGATCCGAGAGAAATTTTGGTGATTCAAATACAATAACTTAATGATGCTTATGAACCTCGTTCCAAAGTTCATATTTTCTAACACTGACGTAAGATATTCCCAAGAAACTGATTCGAATGCTGCTTCAAAATCAGCTGCAGCAATCATTCCGTTCATTTTTCTCTGTTTTCCTATTGTCAGTATATCATACACTAACCTAGTGTTCTCTCCGATATATCTGCCAGAAATGTATGCAGTTTGACAGGGACTTATTATTGTACTGATAATACTTCTAAGCCGGATGGCGACTGCTGTGGATACGATTTTATAATCAACATTTAGTAATGTGATAGGGCGCCAGCCCTTGATATCGTAAGGCGACTTCCCTTGTTTTGGTATTAGTTTGATTACTCCCTCTCTATGTGACGCTAGTGTTTGCTGTTTTGTTAGAGATGCGATAAAAGCTCGATGCAAAAATGGCCCCAATTCATACCAGAAAGTTCTAAAAAATTCAACGGGAAACCCATTAGATCCAGGTGTCTTCCCTTTTTTCATCTTGTAAAGAGCTTCCGTTAATTCTTTCAGTGTTATTTCAGTATCTAAATTCTCGCAGTCCGACATGGTCAATTGGTTGCTTATGTTTTTCGCAATTAAGTTTTGCTCGCATCTAATATTGTCATCCTTACTATATTTGTTTTCCACGTGTTCTGAAAATCGTTTAAGAATCGTGTTGATATTTGTAATTGTCTTATCACCGTCTTTAATAAATTGAATGGACTTTGCGCAAGCATTTCTTTTTTCTAATGACAGAAAATACTTAGAACTTCTCTCTCCTTGTTCATGCCATGCTACTCTAGAGCGAACTATTAAACCATCAACAATGGGGCTTCTGAACTCTTCTAGCTTAGTTTTTGCAATTTCAAGGCAATTCAGGTCATTCTCCGACGCTGTTTCGTTGAATTTTTGCTGCGCTTTGTCGATTTCATTTTTAAGTTGGTCTTCTTTTGCTCTGTTCTGTCTGGCTATTTGTTTTGAAAATTTGACGCTTTCTCCCCTTAACATCATAATGAGTGTTTCATAGAACAGGCAATCTGTTATCGTTAGCTGTATGGTACTAAAGTTCTTGTAATTTGTGTAAACGTTTGATTCATATACTGGTACCGCGTATTGTTTTATTGTATTATGAATGCATGTTTTGATTCGTTCGATGTACTCTTGTTTTGATAAATGGGAAGTATTGAACATCCATAAACCACCTCCTCTTTGATGCTGTTTTGTTTGTATCGTTAAGGTAACTGCACAATGGTCTGTCCTATATCCGGAGACAATGTTTGCATCTGCTACTCTGTTAGTTAGCTGTTCGTTCACGTACAACATATCGAGACGACCGCATTTAAATGGGTTTTTACGTGTCCAGGTATACTTCCTCTCCTGCGGGTTCAATTGTCTCCAAATATCAACCATGCTATATTGTTTTGCCAATTGCATAAATTGTTGTCTTGAGTTCACGTTGTTTTCTCGTGCGTAATTTAACGCGTCAATCGTCGGGTCTATGATGAAATTGAAATCTCCACCTAGTATCGTGTGGTCAATTTCAATTTCTGACAAGTGAGAAAATACTTCCTTGAAGAAGCTAGGTTGGTCTTTGTTTGGACCATATATGCATACGAACGCAAAAGTCTCAGAATGGATCTTTGATATTATTATAAGGTAATTTCCGCAGCCTGAACTGATTTGTTTGATGACTTGATGCTGCGTGTTAATGTTAAACAGTATTGAACATCCACGGCTACAGGAGCTGTAACATGAATGATAACATTTTCCTCTCCAGAGGTTATTATAATAAGGCAGCGCTTGCTCTGTCAAATGCGTATCTTGCAAAAAGAGAACATCGTAATTTTGGTTTCGAAGATAATGCATGACATCCCGTCTTTTCTGAAGGCCACTTAGACCGCGACAGTTCATTGAGAGAATTTTTATACTATCCATACTTGTTGTTAAGTTTACTTTTATGTCTCCTAGTGAACTTCATATTCCATGATATCACCGTCTCAATATAACCTGGAATGATGGAATGGAATGATGGAAATGATGATGATGGAATGTTAACTGGCTTCCAACACATCAACATCATAAGGAGGTATGAAGTTGGATAAGAAAAGGTGAATGGGATTTGAAGAGTCTGTAGGGCCAAATTTGAAACGTATTATTTTCCGCCATATCTGACTCTTGGTGTTACCTTGGGCGACGAGCTGCCGAACGACGAGGATCGTCTGGGACGCTGTCGCGGCGTCGGGCTGTCATCCTCTTCCTCCTCCTCTCCCACCGCGTCCACCCTCAGCTGGAAGGCGCTGCCGTGTTCGCCGGCCGCCGTTCGAGACGGGGTCGGTCGCCAGCTGCGCTCCTCGACCTCAGTCGACTCAAAGGTCACGACGCCGCCCCGGGTCACGGGCTCCGGCTCCTCGCGGTCCAGCAGCCGCCGACACTGCTCCATCAGCTCTGTCGTCAGTCGGAAAGACATGGTTTAGCGAATGACAGTGCGATAGGCGCCCATAATTTTAACGTTAATGCTATTTATGAATAATGACACTAATTTAACGCTAATGGTAAATCTAACGGCCTACCTACAATACTTCTACTTGTGCGCTGACAATCTGCAGGAAATTAATGGGCGAAAAATCAGCGAGGCATGAAATATTCAGTTTACCGTGCCCAGGCTGACTGCGAATATTGCTACTCGGCAAAATATCCCCCCCCCCCCCCCCGCCTCTGGTTCGCTTGCCCGTCCAGTTACTTCGTACTAACGTTTCGGCAAAATATCTTACCGGGTATTTCCAGTGCACGGGCGACCCGGTAGATGTCGGCACAGTTGTCAGTCGTGACCAGTCGGTTGGCGTCCCTTGCAGGCAGATAGCACCATTCGACTACGGTAGCCAAGGCCTCCGGAGAGCCAGAGCCCTGAGGAAATACAAATGTCACCGTAAAATGTGCTGCCACAAAGTCTAGCAGAGCCAGATAATCATAGTTTGCCGCTAGGCTGTAGGCACCGAAGGGGTCTGCAATGTAAGCGGATTGCTTCTTCCGAAACCGTTCTTCTTTTGGCAGTGGATCGTGAACGTTATATGCGTGTTTATACCATAGTTTGCAAGGCAATGAAAACCATATACGGTCCTTGACCGTTGGTCTCACCTGAGGCAATTTGAGCCGGCGTGGCGAATGTCTGCCCAGCTGCTGCAGGTACCGGCTGTAGCGCCGTACCGCCCAGGAAACCAGTGGCACTTCGGTACCGTCCACCTCAATGTAACAGTCGGTCTCGCGCTCAAGGGAGCTGCAGCAGGCCACCGGTCAGAATTGAAGGGTCATGCATTGCTAGTAGCAGATTATAAGAAACTGTTTTGTTTGTAAATGGCTATGGTATGCCGATGGATACTTTGTTTTGCGATGCCATTTCGCCTTTGAAGCTTGATGTGCTTATTTTCATTTCTGAGATTTTTCTTAGTCAAAAGATGTTAATTCTGTTCGACAGTGTATTCAAAAATTATTTGCAACAATTAAGCAATTAATTTAGCAGCGCCGCTCGAACCGGGCCCGAAAGTGTCGACAGGCACAGCACTGGTCGTACCTGCTCGACCGGACCGCCTCTTCTGACAGACAGCCGAGCTCTCGCTTCTCTCGTGCGCCGCCAGAGGCGCCACTGTATCGCTGGTATCCTCCAGGAATTGGCCGCTCGTTATCGTGCGAATACTGGGGAAGGAACTTGCATTGTAATAACCGTGACTTTTTTTTTGAACGGGGACTTCGGTGGCTCCATCTTTACGTACTTTTATGCAAAAATGGTTCGTTCTTTTTATGTTCGACTAATCGCGAGTCGTATGGAATGCCTACATAGTTATTCCGTGCCTCAGCCCTCAGGGTAACAACCGTACTAATTTCAGCTACTTGGCTGATGTTAAGTATCTAACAGGAAATCCCAGACAGATATTGTACTATGCATGTAACTGACCTGTTGCTGCTGCTGCGTGCGTCTGGCGCTCTTCTCGAGGCTGCTCTCGGCGTCGGTCCGGTGGTAGGAGATGCGCTCCTTCTGACCCACCGACACCACCTCCTCCCGCTCCTCGAGGTCACACACCTCGTCCTCGATCACCAGCGCGGCGGCACTGCTGCGGCGCCGCCAGTCGCCACTGGCCCGCCGCGGGTACCCGGCCTCGTCCACAGCACCGTCCGCCCGACTGAATCCGCCGGCTCCTGAGGTCGCCGCAGGGCCGCCGCGGCCGGCCGCCCCAGCCGCCGTGGGCGCCATGTACAGCGTCGTGGCCGATGCGGCCTTACGTGACCCGGCTGTCTCTTGTCGAACGAAGCGTGTCGTGAAGCCGTCCGTCTCCTGTCCGTCGTCGACAGCAACTGTGTCTTCGGCAGGCTGCATGACTCGCTGTAGCGTACCAGGGGCGTCATCGGCCTGAGAGAAGCGCGCGGAGGCGGCTGGTCGCGGCGACAGGGAGCGTCGTCGCGACGAGGACTGCTCCGCTACCGAGCTGGCCGAGCCAGAGACACCGAGCTGGTCACGGAACTCGAACGAGAAGCCACTGTCGCGTCTGGAGACGGAGGCTCGCGAGCCGGGCCGGCTGGCACCCCCAGCCGAGCGTTCCGACATGGCCCGACCGGAGCCGCCACCAGCACGCGAGCTGCGCTCGTGTCCGCTGGACTCGGCCTCCCAGCGTGTCTCCTGGCGCCGCTGGCTACCGTACTCGCTGGTCTCGTAGAACTGGTCGCGCCGCTCAGCACCGGCGCGCTGGGAGCCCCCGCTGGAGCGGCGCTCGGCGGACGCGTCGCGGGCCGCCCGCTGCTGGATGGTGCTGAGGTTCTCGTAGGAGGCGTGGATGTCGGCGCTCATCCGGTCTGTGACGGAGCCGGTTGACTGGGGACAGGTGCAGAACAGTTGTCTTTTACAGCTGAAATACGAATTTGGGGATAAGAATAGCCAGAGACTCATGGAAAAATATAGATCGGGAGAGTTTGCGGCTGGCGCTGCAGTTTAATGAGAGAGGGTTATTATTTCGCAGTCATCGTGTCACCGCGAGGCCGGTCGTACCTTGGCGTGTTTCTCCTTGGCCTGGACGCGGAGTCTGGTGTGCACCGGGTCAGCCACCAGGATGGCCAGGTTGCGGTCCTGGTAGGCCACCATGCCCTCGGAGACGCGCATGCCGCCGTTCTCGGCGCGCTGGAATGGGAACCGGGCCGGCCGCGCTCCGGCCGAGCTCTCCGCCGACGAGGAGACGTTCCGATAGCGCTCGTGGTCGCTGGAGCGCCGGCCGCCGCCGCGCACCGAGTGACGCTCCTCATACGTCATCGCCTCGGCGGTCTCCTGCTGGCGGCGGGCGGCTGCGCGCGTCCGGCTGGCGGCCGGCTCCGAGCGGCTGGACGAGCCGGAGGTGACGAACACCCCCGAGCCTCGCCGGCCCTGCTCGGCAGAGACGCTGCCGCGCGCCGAGCTCGACTCGCCGCTCCTGCGGGGAGGCGGCGGGGACGTGGGATAGTGGCGCTATCATATTGGTACCTACATGCAAGTATAACTGACTATGCTTTCTGCATGATAACTTGTATCGCATTTGACGCATTTTCAACATCGCCTGTCGAATGCCTACTTTTCACCGAATTCATATCAATTTCTTTTCCTTCAGCGGCACCTCACATTACTATAGATCTGCTGACAAACCTGGACCAGTAGCTGGTGGCCTTGTAGTTTTTGGCCAGCTGCGAAGGCAGCAGGCTGTCGGTGGCGGCCAGCGCGCCCGTCTCGGCGGCGTGCTCGCTGGTGGTGCGGTAGCCGGCCGACTCCGAGCCGTCCGTGCCCGAGCCCTGCACGGTGTGGTAGGCGGCTGACGCCGTACTGGTGTTGCTGCGCCGCCGCGGCATCTCGCCGGCCACGATCGGCGTGCGCGCGAACGTGCCGTCCTGCTCCATACCGCTGTTCTTGGGGATGGGGCCAAACGGGCCGACCGGGCGGTGGGAGGACGACGCACTGCGCGCGCTCTGTCGGCGGGCGGTAGCGGGAACGGTGCAGGATTACCTACGCGTGAAACGGTTCGTGTATGATGTAATATAACTATGCAAAGGCTTGGCCATTTTATATCTCCCAGACATACTGCTGCACCTATTGGATGATTTAAGAACTCGTTGGCTTGTTTCATCTAAAACATTATCTCATCTCAGAAAGAAAAAAAAATGGATGAGCGTAATAGCGTCAGTTGTGGAATGAGCAACAGCTTTGTGGGAAAACTCGCACAGGAATATTATACCTTTCGATTTTGATCAGTATAGGCCTCTATATCCCCTCTATATCCACAGGAACCGTTTTACTTACCTCAACAATTTCTTCTATGGATCGATTTGCCTCTGCCATTCTTTTCCGCGTTGATTTAAGCTGTTATTATGCTCTTGTAGTTGCTTGATACGCCGTTCGGATGCCCAATTATTTTATATATACATGCATTCGATAATTACTGCTCTTGCTTTTGATGTTTCGCAGGTAGTGCACTAATTTTGCACTAAGTTTATTTACCATTCATTCGTTGAATATCAATGAATGTTGAAGGAGATAGTGAGATGATCTTTTGAACTCCAAGTAAATACGAACAGGCCTCCAAGGAAAAAGGTTTCCGTTTGCCCTTTTCATCCTAGATGTCATGATATTTTATACAATTTTAGGTCTTGTGTGTCGTAATTGTCTTCGAATTTCGAACCGTTCTTTCTTTCAATAATGTTATCAATGGAACGTGCTAACGTGACCTAGCTGCTTGCACTTCAATGCAAGCGTCGCTGCTCAGTGTCAATGCGTTGACCGCTGAAATCTAAGCTCTCATTCCCATGTGTGGGACTATACTATCATATGTTGGACTTCAGCTTACTTAGATCGCAGCGTAATCTATTCACCTCACGAAATTTATGAAATGTTCTGTATATGGATATCTTCTAATTGCGCTTCTTTCTTTATGTATGATGTTCGTATAGGTTCTTGAACTGTTTTTACAAGCAATTTGCTGCTAAATCACTGCCGGACTGTTCTTCGTTTTTTCCTTCATAGATTCGTATGTTCATTCGTTCGTCTTATCCGTCCCCCTCTCTCCTCGGGAGCTGTCTCTGCGTTGCCTTGTCGTTCATTCTAAAAATGATCCTCGATTCTTTTTCATATGTAAATTAGATAAAACAACGATTGCTAGTACCTACCTAGCTACGCTTCCTACGTCACCCAAAAACTATTCATCAAACCAAGGATAACGCCTACAATATACACGCTTGCTCCTCTTGAATCATGCGTTCAATGTAGCTCAAGATTAATGAGAAAGTCACACCAGTGGGGAAGATATTAAATCTGCAATATTTTCCGTTGTACGGTAACACTACATCAGCGGCACATAATAGACAGTGACGATGCAGAAAATGTGAGCATAGCGCCATTTGTTTCAGTGAGCGATACGGGGGATTTATCGCACTCGTTTGTTGCGCGCGACGTGCCGGCGGCGGCTCACAGTTCGGTCCGTTTGCCCGGGTAATATCGGGCGAGGATGGACGGATATTTGATGTCGCGCTGGCCGATAAGTTTCCGGCCCGTCTGGTCACATCTGGCCGAAGAAATGTGGTCCGAACAGACGGTCACGCCTCGCTGGTAACCCCGGCATTTATCTTCACTAAACCAAAGGCGGCTGAGCCGGAGACGGAGGGCGCCGTCTGTGATCCAGCGGTTGGAGCGTCCACCCGTGCAGAGCAACTTAACTTTTTTCCCGCTGTTCTTCGGTAATCGGTATAAAGCAGCTCACGGTGTTGCTGGATGTCTTGCTCTAATTGCTATCCACCGTCCACACTACAAAGACAGATTTAACAAATTAATTATTTATTGCCCAGACTGTCAGAGCGTAATTCATTAACGCAATTTCCCGCACAAAATAGCTTGCCCACATTTCATCTAAGCTTCCTAGCATTTCTGCTCCAATATCTAGTAGACTCGGTAATCATAACACGAAACGCGAAACTCTGTTTGACCTTAGCCGCCGATCAGTTCACGGACAACATACTGATACATACAGCAGAAGCGACAACAGCAAAGCACATCGATCGCGTACATGTAGTTGATGCCTCGGCCTATCTTCGTGGGCACCACCAGGTCTGGAGAACCAACATGACAGAGTGGCTGCACGGGCCATGGATGAGTGGTATGGCCCGTCATCGGAAGGAACAGCAGGCCATGCACAGTGCACAGGACCGTCTCACTGCGTGGTAGATGCCTTTTTCTGACAAAGCTGATAATAGCTGGAAGGCTTTGTTATCAGTCGGTCGGAAATCATAACACCTCTTTCACATTGCTGATGTTATCCTAGCGTCGTTTTTAACATTGGAGATGGAAAGTATATGCGTTGAACTATTTCTTCCGATCCATAGGATGTTATGGATGTATTCTACTATACTTCGCTTATTTACACTCGGATAATTCTGTCGATCTGACTAAAGAAGACTTTGGATTAAAGAGAGATCATCGCAAGGTACGGAAGAACATCTTCGTCTTATAAGAAGACATCGCTGCAGTTTCATCCATTAACCCGCGCCCTGCTGGGGGTCCTGGATTTCCACGCCCTGCTGGGGGGGGGGGGGGGGTGTTTGAACACCCCCCCCTTCTAACTCGGCTCCTGGGCCACGTAGCGATACGCGGAAGGCGGCGTTCGAAAGAGCGTCAAAAATAATGAGGAAATCACTTCGGTCAATTTTTTGGTCAGGTCAAAGGTCAGGTCACCAGAGGTCATTGAAGGCAAAATTTTGCCGATTTCCAGGTCGAATGTCGACAATTTCCAAGAAGCCAACGCATAACTCGGGAACCAATAGAGCTACAGCGCCGCGGAAAAGCGCATTCGATAGCCCTATTAACGCCCTTTCTGAGTAATACTCTCAGATTTGACCTAACGTCAACGGTTTTGCCTGCAGGGGGCAAAAACTGCAAAAATAGCCGATTTTTTCGGAAAGCTTTTCTGCAATAACTTTTGACCCAAGCCTTATACGAGCTTACTTTTACCGGCATCGTGTTCCTCTCGTCAAGACGCATCGAATGAACTATAACTTGACCTTGAAAGGTCAACTTGAAAATTTGACCTCAGGTCAAGGTCATGACCTGACCGGAAAGGGTCATGTTGCATATCAGTCGATCCGTATCGTCGAGCTGAACACATCTAAGGCGTTTTCATCGCTCTAGCATGCTTCTATCAAAAGTTATTTGCGAAAAACTGTTAGATACCATTCGTGACCTAAGATGACCTCAGGGCATAAACAGGGGTCACGGACACCATTTTCATGTTCAGTGTGTCTAAACCACTTGTAATTCAGTGTTTGGGAGTGTTTATAATGTCTTTCGTCCAAAAGAGGCGCATTTCAATTTTCTCCCATTGACTTATAATGGGGAGGTCGCAAAATTGATCTGACCTTAGGTCATCGATATCAAAATTCTGAGATATACATTTTGTACATGCTATTGCTCTTAGCAATCGCTGAAAGTTTCAAAACGATCGGTCACTCGGTGTAGCTATGACAGACATTGAAACTTTTTATGAGGTGAGTTCACTTCAAGTGACCTGGTGACCTGACCTTGAATGACCTTGGTCTGAAATTTTTACAACATGTGTAGAATTGATGTATGATAAGGTGTACCAAAAACGGCGGCGCTCCGCGCCGCCGTTTTAGAGATATTCGCGAAAAACCACAAGCAGGGCGCGGGTTAACTGCCAGCTCGCCTCCTGGAGGCTGAAGATAGCTGGTTGCTAGCTACCGCATCACCTGCCAAAGTTTACGGTCCATTGGCCGTCAGCGGTTTGGGCTCATCCTCGGCCGGCGGCGCCACCTGTGCACCTGAGCTTCCTCCGGTCGCCACCAGGGTACCGGTGCGTGAGATCGACCGCTCTGTGCGCATTGCCGGCATGGAGGTGTACCGGTTGTGGAGGCGCACCAGACGGTGGCGGCGCGTGAAGCTGGCGTGGCGGCTGGCGCTCACCACCGGGATGTCGTAGCTGGAGAAGTAGAGCGGGAAGTCGACATCGGTCATGGTGTAGCCCTTGATGACGGGCACGGCGGCCAGCCGGCGGCGGACCACAGCCACCGGGTAGCCGTACAGACCGCCGTGGAACGTGAACTGAAACACACGGACCGACACCGTCAGTAGCTGAATAAACTGCCGTGGAACGTGAACTAAAACAAGGAGACACGGACACCGTCAGAAGCCGTACATACAGACTGAACATGTGAACTGAACTGAAACACACAGACACGGGCACCGTCAGTAGCCACCGGGTAGCCGTACAGACCGCCGTGAAACGTGCACTGAAACACACGGACACCGCCAGTAGCCTATGAACCGCCGTTGTACGTGAACTGAAACACACGGACACTGTCAATTGCCATACAGACCGCCGCGGAAGGTGATCTGGAACACAGACATGGACACCGTCAGTACAGTAGCCAGTGTCAGTAGCCATACACTACACTACAGACCGCCGTGTAACGTGAACTGAAACAAAAACACACAGACACGGATACCGTCAGTAGCCGTACAGACCGCCGTGAAACGTGAACTGAAACACACAGACACGGATACCAATTGTCAGCGGTGGACGGTGATACGACTACGAGCTCTTTCTTTGCTATCTTTACATATTTGTTTTTCAAAATTGAGAGTTGAGCTTGCTATTCTATGATTTGCAGTTTATTACTGCCTAATGAACTGTCAAATCCAACATGCCTACCGGCGATATTGAGACTGAACTTCAGGGAAATAAGCTCAACAATGAAAAGCAGTGGTTCATACTATTGCCGGAACCTTCCACATTGAGTCGACTCCGTACGCTATAATTCTTGGTATAATGCTCACAGATTCACATCCAGTCACATTTATAGCGCAATCCTGAAAGCAATAAGCATCAACGTCAGATATCGTGACGCTTTATTTGCTACATGCATGACCCGGAGGCTGAGCTCATTTGGTAAATCTCCTTTCCCGATTGGCCATGCAGTCTGGCCATTTAACAGGACAACATTGATACTGACAGAGTGAATTCGAATGGTTGGCCGGCGTTTCTGGATGGGTGGCTGTCGGCGATCCGACGCGACCGGGCCTGCCGGCAGTCGGTGCATATTTCACAGGCTTATCGTAAAGCAACGGCTCAGAAGGAGCCTGGCGACCGGCTGTCTGCTTTGCAAAGAGCTGCATGGATTGTGAAATCGGACAATCAGCTCCCATTGCCCGAGAATGTATATTTGTAGCCCAACTCTGCTGTATCTAAATTTATATTTGCCAGAATGGGTGCACTGGTGTGGCCTGCGACCCGGAACGCTGGTTGATGTCGCGCTTTTTGATGAAGTTCATGAAGTATTTGATATTTTAGTGCACATATAAATTACTATGCAAGCTATTAATTAAGTTGTTAATGCAAGGAAACTGCAGAATTTGTCAATTTCGGGTGATAGGTACGCCTTATAAGCAAGTTGTTAAAAGCAAACGGATGGAAATGAAACGTCCAGCACATAGAAATGGATAATCTTTTTTTTGTCGAGTGTTTTACGGTTTGTTGAAATTTAGACCCTGTATCTTGTTTCAGTTTCAACGTGAGACGATAATAGCACCAGCAGAACAACAGTTTAGCCTGCCCTTTGGGGCAATGCTGTCTCGTTCCGATGCGTCAGGTGGCATGTGAACAGCAAAACACACTCCCTGATATTGCGTTGTTTTTGCTACGACTGTAAACTGCGGGAAAAGATGCAATATAGTCACTATGCCGAATATCAGGTTTTATTGATTTACTTGCAGTTCATTGTTCACTGCAGTTCACTGCTTTGTTTGTTTGTTGATAATGTAGTTTACATTAACCCGCGCCCTGGTGGGGTCTGTTTATAACGTGACCTGGAAGGGGGGGAGCTATTTTTTGCCGCCCCCTCGTATCTCCGAAACTACTGGATGGATCCACAAAATTCAAACGGCGTTCGTAAGGCCTGTCAAATTTGTTGAGGGAAACCAAATTTCATTGACCTCGGGGTCACCGATGACGTCGCAGGTCAGGTCAAAGATGAAATGTTTCACCGTTCACGGGTCTTCTAGGGAATGCGCCATAACACCGAGGAAAACGTATTTTGTCGAGAATCAGCGATAGGGCGACCGTTGCCTAGAACATATGTTGCTATTAGAGGTCACTGACAATACCAGGTCAGGTCACAGGTCAGGTCACCAAGGGTCACAGGTGAGGTCACCTTTAGGTACTAAGGTTGTGCGATGCATGTTTTATGGCAAATTTTTCATTTCCAACTCAATGGTGTACTCAATGGTGTTGGTTATAAGACTATCAGGTACGGCTTAGATCACTTTCTGGTAAAGGTCAGGTCAAGGTCAGGTCAAAAAGGTCAAATTTTGAAGTTGATAGTTTTGCATAAAATGGATATTAATTCGATGCAGCTCGTCACGGGGAGTCTAATGGTGGTCTTTGTTTTGCGATACGGGGTCTAGAATTGCTAAAAATTGAGTTTGAAAATTTGACGTCATCACTTTTGAACAGTTTTTCCGCTATAACTTCGCCAAAAAAAAGAAGTATCAATCTCAAATTTGGTATGTCGATAGAAGGCGGTAAGGACTATCACACATATTCTGATTTTTGCGAAATTCAAAAGACTTTTTGGATTTTTAGGCTATTATATTCAAAAAATCTATTTATTTTATTTTTGGGGTCTAAATAAAAAAAAATTCAAAATCCGAGATGGCAGTTTTGTAGCCCTGTCAATTCTACAGCTTTTATGTCCTTATCGTTTTTATGTATTTGCAAAGCTAGGTATAGGCCTGACAGCTCTTCCCTCGAAACCCTTTTTTGGGTCGAAAACGGCAGAACATGACGTCACTCTGACGTCATTTCCGGCCAACCTGTCAAAGCCTTTGGAAAAATTTTTGGTCACAATGTGTAAAATTGATGTCCCGGGAGGGTACTGAAAGTTTGGTGACGATCGGCGCAGCGGTTCTGGAGATATATCGAAATGTCTGGAGGGGCGGGGCGGGGGGGGGGGCAAAAAATAGCCCCCCCCCCCCACCAGGGCGCGGGTTAACATGCAGCAGATAAGCCTGATCATTATAATTTATAAGGACAAGTTTTTGGTGTCAATCAAGGTACTCTGAACATAGTTTATGTGAGCATCCTTGTATTTGGTATATTGTTTCAGTAGCATGGGTGGAGAATGTTTGAAAAAGTTACCCCGGCCGGCGACCGATAGTCGCGGGAAGACGATATACTCACGTTGTTCTCAACGGTCATCATCAAACCCCTATTCTGACGCATGGAATAGGATGCTGTGTTTGCTCAAGGATGAGCGTTGTATCCGACACCGTATTATTCATAACATTTTTGGAATGATCGAAAAGGCAATTTGCTTTTAAATTATTATTTCTTTTTACTTAAACTTCCAATTTCACACCGAATCCAAACCAAACCATATGCCATTTTGAGTACCTAAATGTTGCGTTTTCAGCTTTTTATTGTGTCTCAAAATAGCTACAAAAAGACAACTCACCATAGTAGAAGCTTTACAGAGAAATTGACAGATCGAACCAAGCAAAGCACTAAAATAGGTCACTGACATCCACGGGCGTAGCCTTTTTCAATGTTGGGCGGCTCTTATAATACAAACAGGGAGTCGATCCAGGAATATCGACCGGTCCCGGTCTCGTAGCTCAGTTGCTAGAGCGTTGGATTCCGCGTGGCGAGAGCACGCGGCCCGGTTACAACAGTCCGAGTTCGAAGCATGATGGCCGCTCGGTGTTTATGAGCACCCTGACGGGTACGCTCATAAACGGGTGTGGTTGCGGTTGGTGGCAGGTCAGTTGAAGGCAATGAGGTCAAGCAGTAGTTTTGAAAAAGTGCGCCGAAGGCGCGCCAAAATTTCGAAACTGAACAGGATTTGAGAGCAATCTTGGCATTGGCGACCACACGCGGGTCTTAGGGTTGGAGATTATGGCAAGTTAAGTCAGGCACGTACCCAGGATTTCGCCCAGGAGGGGGCCACCTGCTTTCGAAGGGGCCCCCCAGGTTCCCCGGGGGCCCCCGGGAGTCATGAAGAATCTTTCGATGGTGGGGGGGGGGGGGGGGGGCATAGTGGGTCCGGTCTCTCCTGCAGACGTAGGTGAGAAAACGCCACGTGTGTGGGAAAACGCAATTCAGTTCTTTACAACCTAATGTAGCATTTGGTTGTGATTTCTCGCGTTCAACTTCATCAAAGTCAATTAAAACGGTCTCTGTAACGGTCTAAGCCTTGAGAAAATGTGGAAAATTGGAAAGTAAAAATATTTTTGCTTGAGGAGTGTGCATGAAACGCACGGCATTTTATGAGCGAGCGCCTCAATTACTGAACATCCTCCAATTCCGGATATGTAGGTACTAGGTATATAATAGTGGGGAATAAATGTCTCGTTATCGGAATTCCACTATTTGGCAACTAGCCCTATGTAAACGCGGCTATTATATGTTTCACTAGGAATCGAGCGCAATTGTACTTTTAGCCAGAAAATAAATGTTTGGGTAATTCTGGGACACTCTGTATTAATTGGAGGAATAGGACTTAGGAGGAAATGCGATTGCAAATCGACCCACAACCCTGTGTTAGCCAATGACGCCTTTGGGGGGGGCCAAGGTTGGGGGTATTCAGTTTAGCCTTTTTGTTTTTCTGTGATATCTCCGGCACCGTGAAAGATATTGGCTCCTTCAGATGAGTGCCTACTCCAGTCACTACTTATATCCAGTAGCCAGTAGCCACTCAGATGATTTGGGATCAATCAGGTGATAAGCGTAGGTACTTTCAGACGACCAGGGGCCCCCAGTCGACCAGGGGTTCCCAGGCGACCAGGTCCTCCAGATGACTAGGGGCCCCACTGCCCCAGGCGACCAGGTCCCTCCAGGCGACCAAGGGCCAATGCGATCAGGTCCCCAAAGCGATCAGGGGTCCCCAGGCGACCAGGGGGCCCCCATGCGACCAGGGGGCCCCATGCGACCAGGCCCCCGGCCACCAGGGGCCCCCAGGCGACCAGGGGCCCTCTAGGTGACCAGCGGCCCTCAGGCGATCAGGGGCCCCCAGGCGACCAGGGGATCCCAATTCCCAGGCTACCAG